GTTGTGATGCTGTGAACAATGAACAGAAAGCTGGATTTAGAATTTAATTTCAAAGAGAAGATTCACAACTTGTTAACAAAAGAGAAAGCGGTAATTGTGTCCTGAAAATAATACAATTATTGAATTAACAGTAAAAATGTGTTTTTCCTGGTACACATGGTATTTATGAAGCCAGTAGTATAAAACATCCATCAAGCAATCTTATTAGAATCATTGTGATATAGCACTTAAGAGACAATACTTTGTCCTATATAGATTTGTATTTTTAAACAATCATACTTACAGTAAATGCTGCAAATACAAAATGAAATCAAACATCCTTTGACTTTTTACTGACCTAAAAACTGTTAAACAAACAAACAAAAAAAAACAAAAAAAAACTAAAACTGAATATATCAGTTTAGACAATGGGAAAATACAAAATGGGGGGAAGCTTACATATATATGATCAAAAGTATACAGTAATATGGCATTTATTTGTACATAATTTAATATGCTACTGTGTTATGCACAAAATCTCACTCTCCTTTAAAGGTACCCTTAAAAAAAAAAAAACTGTCAAACTCTAATGCAACATTATACAAAAGAAATATATGAGCCAAAACTACAATATATTATGTTTAAATTTTCCAGTATATATTAAATTTTCCAATATATTAAAAAACAATTGAAAATAATTTTAATAACATTATTTAACCCACTATATCCAAAATACTATGATTTTAAAATGTAAACAATATAACAATGATTAAAGATCATTTCACAGTCTTTTTTATTCTGTGTATTTTAACTCACAGCATATCTCAATTCAGACTAGCCACATTTCAACCACTCAATAGCCACATGTAGCTAGTGGCTACCATACTGGAAAATCCAGGTTTAATTAATCCCTTTATTAGACCAGTGACAAAACTAGACTGGGTACAGTGACTAACACCTGTAATCCCAGCACTCTGGAAGGCCAAGGCACAAAGAGCACTTGAAGCCAGAAGTCTGAAACCAGCCTAGGCAACAAAGTGGGACCCTCATCTCTACAAAAAAATTTTAAAATTAGCAGGGAGAGAGTGAGTGGCAAGCATCTCTAGTCTCAGGTACTTAGGAGGCTGAGGCAGGAGGAGCACTTGAGCCTCAGAGTTAGAGGTTACAGTGAGCTATGATCAAGCCATTGCACTCCAGCCCAGGTAACAAACAGAGTGAGACCCTGTCTCAAATAAATGTCTAAAGGATAAAAATTTAAAAAGAAAGCTGTCAGAAAAAAAGGAATATTACTCATGAATCTATCAGAAAAAGGATTATAGGCAAATGCCCAATAAATAGAGGGCAAGTAACATCACATTTGTACTGCAATGACTTCTACTAGTTTAAAACTGGTAAAAGACAATCCTAAAATTTGCATTAAAACCTCCAGGAATGATTTCCATACTTACAGCATTCTCACCCTTTGGGTGCTCTCTCTTTATTAACTTGTTCTGTATGTGTTGTTGATAAAGGACTACGCTCCAGTAATAAATCTGTTATAAAGCTCTGTGCAATGCTAAGGGGTACGTGTCTTTAAAAAAAAAAGAAGGTGGGTCTATCTTGTTCATTGTTCTTAACTATTTAGCCATATCTGGTAACCAACAGGTACTCAAATATTTGTTGAATGAATGAATTCCACTGGTATTCAATAAGGCATAGAACTTTAGTGCTGGAGATATGGCATGCGACAGAACAACTGGCCCAACTTACCACCCACAGCAGAAATACCCTCCACAATATTGCAGACAGTGGCCACCCACCCATTGTTTTAAACAAAGTCTTCAAATACTGATGGCCCAAATGCTGTCTGCGTCACAGCCAAAAGATACATTTTGGCTGTCCTGCCCTACTGAGCTGGTGTGGTATTTTTAAATAATCTGAATTGAAAATATTTAAAAACCAGATTTCACATGGAAACCACTATAAAGTTTTTGTGAAAAACCAATAAATCAGACAATCTGGCATCTTCAACCCTGATAGTGCCAAGTGGTTACTGCCCCCTTTAACAAGGCATCTGCTTTAGACTCCACAGTCCCAAACCACACCCTACTTCTCCAACAGGGAGTCCTAAAATCAGTTGGCTGCTGTCCCTTTGGGCTGATGGTTTTCTTATAGTAGTTGAGATAAAGGGAAAATCCAATATTTATTGTCTCCATATTTACAGCAAAAAAACTAAAATGAAGGAGAGTCCTATATTTATTATGCCTGGGGCTCTCTTCATTAATACACCTGTTTGGCCCTGCAGCATCTAAATTTGACACCAGATGTAAACACTTTTAGTGGCAAGAGTCTGATATACTCAGCCCATTTCACTTCTGGGGACAGCCTTAGTAGTGGGGTGGTGTGTGTGTGTGTGTCTTCTTTCATGCTAAGTTAAATGTGCTTTCCTATTCCATCTACTCATTGACCTGGGACCTCTGCCAGAGATACCCAGCATACTCGTTCTATCCATAAGAAAGCTATCATATTCCGCAGTCATCCCTTCTCATCTCCTGTAATTGCTCTTTACCCCTCTCAGGACATAATCTAACTTCACAGGGTTCTTCCTAAAGAAGAGGGAGAAACATCTCAGTAATTCTATTTCGTATCTAGACAGTGAAATGTATGGTGTAATGGAGCTCATATTCCAAAAGACAAAAGTCATTATTACTGAATATAAGCCATTGTGGCATGCTCTGTACAAACCCTGTGGCAGAGGTTTCTCATTCAACATCCATTTAACAAATATTTATTAAGCATCTAGAATACCATGCTAGGTAAATTCCTGAAAACAGAAAATCATTCGTCTAGTTCTCCCTATGAATCACACAAAAAACTAGCCAAATCTTAATATTAAAAGCCTACAGAATTTTGTGAAATATGTATATAAGCGCAAACTAATTATAAGTAGAACTATCTAGTACATAACTAAAATGTCGTTTGTGCTAAATATTAATATACAAAAAGTTTTCTTTGGTCAATCAAGCTGGGGTTCTCAATCAGCCAATGAAGATGTACCAACAGAATATCAAGTTGTTAAGCTGGTAGGATTGATTTCAAGCGATGCTGTCTTTCCCTCCTCAGTATGCCAGATTGGTAGCAAGGGAGGAAACATAAAGGTGATGACCTCACAAGGATCATGATCCTTTATAACATCATACTCTCTGAATTTTCTGTTTGCCTGATGTGACGCTGCTTGTTTTTTTGTATATACATACAACTTCCATATGTGCAAAATATCCATGTAACTAGTGATTGCCATCTTTTTAAAAAAATATGTTTTAATAGCAGCATATCTACTCTTCTCCACTCTCTCTGATGGAGCACACATAAGTATCACCCAAGGAGACTCCCTATCACAGAGAGACCAAAAGAAGATAACATTCTCTAAAATGTAACTTAGACTCTTTTCTGCAAAGTTTTTTTTTTTTTTACAAGATTAAAAAGTTACTCCTGTACTTTAAGAGGGAGAAACTGACACAGTGGACAAAAAGATTAAACTTGAAACTTCAAAGCCCAAAATAGGAAGCGCTGCTCTGAAAGTCTGATACTCAGGACCACTACTGACTCTCCTCCATAAGGACATGCCTAACATGAGCCTGTACTATTTCCACTCATTTTAGTCCTCGCAGCTGACCTCTGTACTAGTATTTGGCCCTGAATTTCAGTGTCTCCAGTGATTTCAACTTAATTTTGATCTACATTAATCCTGCAACATCTGTCCAGAGAAAAAGTAACATTATCCCAACAAGAAACAATGTAAACATTGGCCATGTAATAAAGATATACGTGCTGTACATCAATTTCATTTTCTATACAGTACTACAGAATTCTACTACTATTTATGACGTTCAAAATCCTTCTTTTAAAAACAGACAAAAATGGATGGAGAGAGGCTGGAATAAGTTGCTCATGCCCATAATCCCAGCACTTTAGGGGGCCAAGGTGGGCAGACTGCTTGAGCCTAGGAGTTTGAGACGAGCCTGGGCAACATAGTGAAACAAAAATATATAAAAATTAACTGGGCATGGTGGCACCCGCTTGTAGTCCCAGCTACTCAGGAGGCTGAGGTGGGAGGAGCACTTGAGCCCAGGAGAGGCAGGCTGCAGTGAGCCGAGATCGCGCCACTGCACTTCAGCCTGAGAGACAGGGAAGACACTGTCTCAAAAAACAAAACCAAAACAAAACAAAACAAAAAAACGGATAAGGGATAAAGAAAATAAAACGCCCAAATGGGACCAGAAGGGACAAAACGACAAAAAATAATTCCCTTAAAAGTTATCTAGGACTAGCCATTAGGTAGTCCCACTCCTTAACTCTGCAGTTTTTATTTACCTATTACCATATACGAATTATCAATGTTTTCCTAGTTAGTATTTCAGTAGTCCATTATTTTATGTATCAAGGACATCACACAGTCAGAAAAATTCCTAAAGACAAGCATAGGATTTTTTTTTCCTTGAGACAGACTTTCATTCTTGTTGCCCAGGCTAGAGTGCAATGGCACAATCTCAGCTTACTGCAACCTCCACCTCCCAGGTTCAAGCGATTCTCCTGACTCAGCCTCCCAAGTAGCTGGGATTACAAGCATGCACCACCACACCCAGCTATTTTTGCATTTTTAGTAGAGATGGGGTTTCTCCATGTTGGTCAAGCTGGTCTCGAACTCCTGACCTCAGGTGATCCACCCACCTCGGCCTCCCAAAGTGCTGGGATTATACGTGTGAGCCACCATGCCAGCCTTACAAACACAGTTAATAAGGAGTTTAACACAAAGTTCATATTCAATATCCAATATCTACTTTAAGTATGAATCAAAAGCCAAGAGTTCATTTTGACATTTCAACAGTGGGGGAGGACCATTTATAACTATAGTTTTAATTTACTCATCTGGAAAGATTAACCCTCAAGATGACAAAAATAATTTTCCTTCCAGTTACCACTGAATATATATCTATAAGCTTACCTCCACCACCACCCCAGCCCACAGTTCTAACACATACCTGGTCTATTAATTCGGTCAATTTTATCCATACTAGGGGAGGGGAGCCGAAGTCGAGGACTGCTTTGATTGGAGTTGTCTGATCCCACATCGTTGAATGAATCATCAAGAGTCAGCAGGAGTTCTTTTACACATTTATGACAGATACTATGTTGGCAAGGGAGAATCAATGGGTGGGTAAACAGCTCCTTGCATGCTGGGCAAATGAGCTCCCTTTCGATATTCTTAATGGTAACCTTAAATTGAGAGTAAAACAATCCAAGTTAAAGGCTCTTAGTGGGTAAATATATTAACATTCTTATACCTCTTGAATAAGTACATATGTTTATTTTTCTAAAAACAATTAAGAAAATGATTTTTTTAAATTTTAAATTTCTTTTCTCCAATAAAATTTGATACCATCAATTGCCCTCAACACCCATAACCCAGAACTGAAGGAACATGAGATAGTAAAGGGCAAAAATGAAAAAATGAGAAAAATTATGTAAAATATTAGAGGACCATAATATTCTATCAAAAATTACAAAGCCATCATTCGAATCTCCATCACCAGTGCACTGATTTAGGACTTCAGTGAAATCCCAGAAGTAGATCATGTCAATAAAAATTTTGAATACAGCACTAACAGTAAGACTATATTCCTATTTAGTGAATTAATGCTGTAACTGGCAAATAACAGGAGCTATTAAACACTAGCTGAGTCAGTATGTTCATGGAACCCCAGTTGGTATCTATTTACAAGCCGAATTATCAGCAATTTTCTATATTAAATGCGACCATTTTTCATATGCTGCAACTGTAATGCAGCCAAAATGCCTGAGGTTCTAATGCTGTATATCAAAGCAATTATCTTAAAAGCACTTCATGAATATGTATTAGTCCATTTTCACACTGCTATAAAGAAATACTTTTGTATTTCTTTATATAAAGATATTTCTTTATATAAAGATATTTCTATATAAATTACCAATTTATAAAGAAATTTATAAAGAAAAGATTTAATTTATATATAAAGAATTTTATATATTTATTTATATAGAAATTTATTTCTATATAATTTATAATTTATAAAGAAAAGAGATTTAATTGACTCACAGTTCCACTTGGCTAGGGAGGCCTCAAGAAACTTACAAATCATGGCAGTAGGGGAAGCAGGTCTGTGTTACATGGAGGCAGGTGAGAGAGAGCAAGAGCAGGAAAACTGCCTTATAAAACCATCAGACCTTGTGAGAATTCACTATCACAAGAACAGCATGGGGACAATCTACCCGTGATCCAATCGCCTCCCACCAAGTCTCTCCCTCAACACCTTGGGATTACAATTTAAGATGAGATTTGAGCCTAACCATATCATTCCGGCCCTGGCCCCTCCCAAATCTCATGTCCTTACATTTCAAAACCAATCATGCCTTCTAAACAGTTCCCCCAAGTCTTAACTCATTTCAGCATTAACTTAAAAGTCCAAGTCCAAAGTCTCATCTGAGACGAGGCAAGTCCCTTCTGCCTAGGAGCCTGGAGAATCAAAAGCAAGTTAGTTACTTCCAGGATACAATGGGGGTACAGGCATTGGATAAATGCTCCCATTCCAAATGGGAGAAATTGGCCAAAACAAAGGGGCTACAGGACCCATGAAAGTCTGAAACCCAAAACGGCAGTTATTAAGTCATAAAGCTCCCAAGTGAGATCTCCTTTGACTTCATGTCTCTCATTCAGGGTATACTGATCCAAAGGGTGGGTTGCCATGGCCTTGGGGCAGCTCCACCCCTGTGGCTTTGCAGGGTACAGCCCCCCATGCCACTTGCTTTTATGGCTGGCGTTGAGTGTCTGCAGGTTTCCCAGATACGTGAATGAAGCTGTTGGTGGATCTACCATTCTGGGGTCTAGAGGACCATGGCCCTCTTCTCAGAGCTCCACTAGGGAGTGCCCCAGTGGCGAGTCTGTGTGGCAGCTTATACCTCACATTTCCCCTTTGGACTGCCCCAGCAGAGGTTCTCCATGAGAGCTTCGCCCCTGCAGCAGACTTCTGCCTGGACATCCAGGTGTTTCTGTACATTCTCTGAAATCTAGGCAGAGGTTTCCAAACCTCAACTCTTGACTTTGGTGCACCGGTAGGCCCAACACCATGTGTAAGCCACCAAGGCTTTGGGCTTGCACCCTCTGAGGCAATGGTCTGAACTGTACCTTTGCCCCTTTTAGCCACAACTGGTACTGGAACAGCTGGGACACACGGCACCAAGTCCCAGTGATGGCAGCTGCAGCCCATCTGGAACAGCTGCTGCAAAGATGCTGGCTGCAGCTTGGAAGGCACAGCCGGACCTGCTTACTCTGCAGAGCCAGCAGGATCCAGGAACAGGCAGGAGCCCTTCCCCATTCCGAGTTGGTGGGGAGGGAGCCCCACGCTCCTGGGTACCATTGCAGCCACCCAGCTGTGGACTAGGGCATTCCTATGCTCTTGATGGCCCAGGATGCCCCTCTTCCCCTGCATGCTCAGAAATGCCTGCTCCTGCTGCTTGGCCTCTCCCCATTCCCAGTGCCCACTCTGATTTTGGAGAAAAGCTGTGGCCAAGCCCGGGCACTGTCATGACCTGGCCAGGTGTGTGGGTACTTGAGGAGATGCTGACACACTAGCCCCCTGACACCTCAGCCCCCTCTGGACTTTGGGAGCTGATGAACATGGGAGAGAGGCCAAGTGCAGGGCTGAGGGTGACTCAATATGGTACTGCATGCATCCCTCAGCTAAAATAGTCTGGCACCACGAATGGCAGTGGGAGGCAGACAGGTTCCTGGGAGGAAAGAGGGACAGATCCCTGCTGAAATCCCACTTTCAGGCAAGGGATAGCCTGAAGCCTAGGGTCCAGGCTGCCAGTTCCACTGACTGGAGTGAGAACTTACAGTGAATTTTCCAGGCCCACCCATGGCCACCCATTGGCCAATCAGCACACACTTCCTCCCCTCTGAAGCCCATATAAACCACAAACTCAGCCAGACTCTAACAGATGATAGGACGACTTGCCTGAAGGTAAGAGCTACCCACTTGGGTCTCCTGTCCGCTGAGGGCTGCACACTCAACAAAATGACCTGCCTGCAGAGAGGAGATACCCACTCTGGGTCACCTCTCTGTTGAGAGTTGCAGTTGTTGGGAGGAACTGCCTGCAGAAAGCAGCTACCCACTACGGGTCTCCTGAGAGCTATTCTTTTGCTCAATAAAGCACCTCTTCACCTTGTTTACCCTCCAGTTGCTCATGTAGCTCATTCTTCCTGGACACAGTACAGGAACTCTGGACCTGCCAAATGGCAGGACTAAACAAGCTGTAACACAAACAGGGCTAAAATATACCCCACTGCTCGCCATGTTGTGGGTGACGAGGAGGAGACAAGAGAGGAGAGAAGAGCTGCAGCCCTTTAGGGAGCCTGGACTTACGAGCTCTCCAAGCCAGGGCTGTGACACCCTCTTTGGCTCCGCAGTTCCTGGCATCTCCAAGTTTCTGGGTGTCACCGTGTTCCACAGTGCTTGTAGTGGAAGCCACTTGTGGTACACCTTTGTTCCAGCCACAGCAAGGAGCCGGCACCCATGCTGGCACCTGGACCTGACTGCCCTGCCACGGCCAGCATGCCTGGGTGCGCACACTGTACCCCGGGCTCACTCACTCATGCACCCCTTGCTGCTCTGCACCTGGGCTTGCCCTTGGCAGGCGTGGGGTCTGGGCCAGTACTGAAAGCCAAGCATAGTCTGTCAGGCCAAGTGGGCAGAACAAGTCCAGTGGGCCTGAGCAAAACTTGGGCAAAGGCAACACTTGCCATGGACGTTTCAGGCTGGCGAAACGACACCCTAAGGATCCTGTGATACCGAGGCTGCACACTGCAGCAGGGCCCTGGGCCCACTCCACTAAACCATTTTTCTCTCCTAGGCCTCCAGGCCTGTGATGGGAGGGACTGCTGCCAAGATCTCTGACATGCCCTAGAGACATTGTACCCATAGCCTTGGTGATTAACATTTGAGTCTTTTTTTACTTAAGCAAATTTCTGCAGTTAGCTTGAATCCTTCCCCAGAAAATAAGTTTTTCTTTTCTACTCCATGGTAAGGCTGCAAATCTTCCAAACTTTTACGCTCTGCTTCCCTTTTAAACATAAGTTGCAATTTCAGACTGTCTCTCTCAAGTTCAAAGCTTCACAAATCTCTAGGACAGGGGCAAAACACTGCCAGTCACTTTGCTAAAGCACAGCAAGAGTCACTTTTACTCCAGTTTCCAACAAGTTCCTCACCTCCATCTGAGACCACCTTGGTCTGGACTTCTTTGTCTATATCACTAGCAGACTTTTAGTCAAAACCATTCAACAAGTCTCTAGGAAATTCCAAACTTTCCCACATCCTCCTGTCTTCTTCTGAGTCCTCCAAACTGTTTCAACTTCTGCCTGTTACCCAGTTCCAAAGTCGCTTCCACATTTTTGAGTATCTTTACAGCAGTGCCCACTACCTTGGTACCAATTCTCTGTGTTAACCCATTTTCACAGTGTTACAAAGAAATACCCAAGAATGGCTAATTTATAAAGAAAAGAGATTTAATTGACTCACAATTCTGCATGGCTGGAGAGGCCTCAGGAAACTTACAATCATGGCAGAAAGGGAAGCAAGCACGTTTTACATGGCAGCAGGTGAGAGAAAGAACAGACAACACTGCCTTATAAAACCATCAGATCTTGGGAGAATTCACTATCACGAAAACAGCATGGGGGAAATCAGTCCTATGATCCAATCACCTCCCACCAGGTTTCTTCCTCAACACCTGGGGATTACAATTCAAGATGAGATTTGGGTGTAGACACAAAGCCTAACCATAACAGAATATTAAAAGAGTGTAGAGGACCCTTTAAAAAGGTGTATTAGCACCACTACAAATGCTCTCAATACTACAGGCTTTCATTATTTTAAGTGAGAAGCATTTTAGATTCATCACAACTAAAAAAGTTTGATGACCTCCTTCAGTTTCGCCATCATTTCTCTATGTAGTTTTTTCCATGTATCCCAGACTTCAAATATATGAATCCTATAGTCAGCATCCCTGCAATTTTAAAGACAGCCCAACTTCAAAGCACTTAAAACCTTGCACAATCGTTTCAACTACTAGAAACACATAGAAAATTAAAATTGACTTAATGTAATGAAATTTAAAAATGTATGCTAACCTATTCTCCCTAATAATCTCTGACAATTTAATCGCATTAGAGCCAACTGGTTTTATCATTGTTAGTGGGTGTTTCAATGCAGTCTCTTGCTGCATCACTCAAATATGTGATGAAGAGCCATATTACCTCCCAATTGTTCATAGATTTGGAAATAAGATAACCAAATCTCACAATTCACATAAAGAATACAGAATATTCACATCCTATCTCATTTCACAAAGGGTTTGGCACCTAATTCAAAAGAAAATCTTGTCCGGGATGTCCAAAATAGGTTCTTATATTCTATTTTATGTATCAATATGGTCAGTTACGGTTTACTTCTCACTGGGGGAGGATCTAAAATCATTTCCATTTTTCTCGTGCATGAAGCAGTGTCTTGAATCTGACGTTTTAATCACAATGGACATAAAGTGCCAAAAGAAAATTTAGTTCATCAGTCATTGAGGGAGAAACAAACTGATTAAGTGTAACGTGGCGGCTCCCTCAATTAAGCGGTTCCTCGGGAAACTTCAGAAGAATTGCACATTCAACACCTTTAAACAAAAACACTTGTAGGCTGACAGCTGCCCGGGCCCGCCCCGCGCGGGCTGGCGAAGCCGGGGAGGAGCCTCTGCCCCAGGCGGCGGCAGCCGGCCGGGCCCGCGGGGGTCACGACGCCTAGACAAAGGGCGGTCCCGCAAGCGCAAGGCACGCGCCCCAGCTTTCTGCCCGCATCAGACTCCCTAACGCTAATTAATTCTGCAGCCTGAGCTCTATTAGAGAGACCCTCCATGATTCCCCGAGGTGCTCAGGTGGGCAACTACCGGATTTGGGCTCTTCTCTGGCCCTGGGGACCCCACGTCCGGCTCTCGGGGATAGAAAGGGGACGCCCCGGGTTGCAGAACCTAGCCCCGGGCGGGGGAAGGCGAAGAGGAAGCAGGATCCCCACACGACTGCCCCAGCTCTCCCGGGAGGAGGCTCCCTGCGGAGGAAAGAGAAAGAGCCGCAGCCGGCACACCGCCCTCGAAATGGGGGGCGGCGGCCCCCTCCGCACTCACCGGCGAGTCTGAGCCATCGCCCTCCATGGCTGCCTTCTGCCAGGTGTCATCAGCAGCACGCTCCACTTAGGCACACCGGCTACCCCGAGCAGGGTCTGGTGGGCGGGTCCCTGCGGCGGCCGTGGAGCCTCGGTCCGAAGCTGGAAGACGAGCTGGTCAGGCGGACCTGGCCAGCGGACCGACGCGGGGAGAAGTAAGCCGGGGCCAGCAAAAACACAGGCGCGGGAGAAGCAAGCTTCGCTCCCAGCGACGGCCCCGGGAATCCCGCCCAGCGTCCGGCTGCGGCAGCGGCTCCTGCGGACTGCGGCTGGGAGGGGCGCCGCGCAGAGACCTGGGCGTGGCACAGCGGGGCGTGGACGGGGCGTGGACGGGGCGTGGACGGGCCGTTGCCCAGGCAACAGCGCCAGCCGCACAAAAGAGGCGGGGCCGCCTGGGGCTGGTAGTCCGGGTGTCTGAGCGTTGGGCTCAGCCGGACTCGGCTCGGCGCGGGTGTGGCATGCGGTTAGGGATCAGCGCCTTCCGCCGCCACCTCTTCCCTACGCAGCAGCCCCTCACTCCCACCCGGGCTGCTGCCCGTCGCCCGATGCCAGGCTGGGGGGCCTCTGAGGAGCGGAAGTGAGGGCAGCCGGGAGCGGTGGGCGGGTGCCGAGGGCGGCGCCTGGGCGGGCAGGCTCCGCTGCGGCAGAGCAGCCGGCTGCAGCCCTGGCCCCTGGCCCCGCGCTGCCCCTCCGCCCTTCAGTTTGCTCCCACTGCGCTTTCTTCCTTCGCGGTTCGAAGCCCCGCTTCCAGGCTCAGCATAGGACGGTGCGGGCGAGGGCGAGCCTAAGCCACCTTCCCTGAATGGCCGCGGCGAGCACGGCAGAGCTGCGCGAGGCGACCAGAGTGAGACCCCGCCCGTCCCCTCCGCCCCCTCCGCCCCCTCCGCCCCCTCCGCCCCCTCCGCCGTCCCCAGCCAAGCGCAGCCTGGGGTTCCCTGTCCCCGCCCGGCTCATCCCCGTTCTTTCCTGGCTTCACTCGTTGGGTGAACTTCATCGTCCCTAACTGGGCACTGAACACTTGTATCCCGCTTTTTGCTTCTATACCCCAAGTCGCGATGTCACGGCACGTTCTTGCCCAGTGGCGCGGGGACCGCCTGCAGGGTGGGGATTCCTCTCCCGGATGCTGGCCAGGGACTGAATTTAAAAGGCCGCGGAAAGGGAGCGACCCCCCGCCACCCGGGCCTAGGCTTTCTCTCCTGAGGACCAGGACAGAGGGTCCTGAGTGGCTCCGGCACCCCAGCTTAAGGCGCGCACCACCTCAGGGACTGGCTGTGCACATTCCACCTGCCACGGCCCAAGTGTGTTTCTTGTGTTGTTTTCAGGACACACGGAGAACAAATTAACTTAGGATTATTAGATCACGCCACTGCCTTCCTGGCTAGCTAAATAATTCATTCCTATGTATTAGGCTTTAAGAACAGATGCCCTAAACTTCTGGGTAAGTAGGGACTACAGAGCTGTAGCGAGTCATCTCGTTTAGGTTTTAAAATGCTTCCCACTTTTATTTCCTGTTTGGGAGAAGTCTCTCGCTGTGGCAAGTTCCGCCGTCTTCCCACAGCCCTGTCTGCAGTGGTAGCCTTGTCTCCAATCCGGCATCTGAATAAGGAGTGTAGAATTAAGAACATTGAGGGACTGTAGCAATTTTCTCTAATGGAACACCCTCCATTTACAGATGAGGTGAACAGAGGATGAAAGCTTTGCCAGGTAATGATGCCTGGGCTGTTCTGATCCGGATTAATGCCTGTTCCGTGGCCCCAGGTGCTAGACTTGAGAAGGCTTCCTTCCCACAGGTTCTGAAAAGTGCTAATCAGGAGGAGAATAACAAATGCCTGCGTGAATTAGGTGCCTATATATATTTTTAAAGGCTCAATCGTTAGAAAGCATTATAAGTCTTTCTCACACTGGCCTCTGAGCGAAATAATTCCCCTCGGGCTGTAATTTCACATCAGCACACCTGCTTTGATCCAAAACTTATTAGTTGACACAGTAAAAGTGATTAGAAGGCTCCATTAACAGGAATTAAAACCGGTATAGACAATATTTCGGTGAAAATACATTGCTATGGCCTTCCATTTTTGCAAATCAGACTTCACTGAGCTATCATTTTCTACCTGATCCACAAAATTCAAACATGATGTTAATACACTTGGCAAAACTGTGTCTCAAAAAAATAAAAATAAAAATACTTATGCAGTGGGCACAACCTTACCATTATCATCCCAGTATAGGTTTTAGTTGTGTGAGCAACTATCTATTCATCCTTCTGAAACAGATCATTTGGTGGTATTTTTGTTTTGGTCCCATGAGATGTTTAAGACCTTATATTAGTGTAGATTTGAGGACTTTCTAAGCCTAATTCTTTCAGAGTATAAGCGTCTTCTTGTTTTAAAGTAAATTTTGTGTGTGTTAATTTTTTGAATATTTTTGTGCCTCAAAGATGTTCAAAGTTAAAATAATTCACCAAGTAATGGTATCATTGCGTATTTCTCTATCAAAATTAAATATAAGATTTACAAAGCCTCTCTTATTTTGCTCAAACCTTTTTGTGGTAGCATATGTTGGTACAGCTTATCTGAAGGGACATTTTACAAATCCTATCAAAAATTTTAAGTATTTGTACCTTTTGACTAAGCAATTCCACATCTAAGAATGTTTCTACTGTAATACTTGCATGTGTGCACAAAAGCATGTGCAAAGAGCTTATTGAGACCTTATTTATAACTAAACATCATCCATAATGTACATTCATACCATAGAATACTATGCAGCAGTTAAAATCAATGTACTGATGACAAAGGATTTCTAAAATATGATGGGCGTGGTGGTCCACACCTGTAATTCCAGCACTTTGGGAGGCTGAGGCAGGTGGCTCACCTGAGGTTGGGAGTTCGAGACCAGCCTGGCCAACATGGTGAAACCCCTTCTCTACTAAAAATACAAAAATTAGCCTGGCGTGGTGGCACACACCTGTAATCCCAGCTACTCAGGAGGCTGAGGCAGAAGAATCACTTGAAACCAGGAGGCAGAGGTTGCAGTGAGCCAAGATTGTGCCACTGCACTCCAGCCTTGGCGACAGAGCGAGACTCTGTCTCCAAAAAAAAAAAAAAAAAAAAGTACAAAACCATATGGATTCTATATACTGCCACTCTGGCCAAAAGATGAGGCAAACTAAAATTATAGGCAAACAAAAATAAGCATCTGGAATAGAGCACAAAAAATGATAACCATTGTGGAGAAGCAAGAGATAGAGTCAGGTATACAAGACTTACTCTTCACTCACATGTATTATCTTTGCATCTTATAGGTACATGTTATACTTCTAAAACTTTTTAATGTTAATCCGGTCTATCCATACACTTTTAAAAACAAAAGGTGGGGGGAAGAAGACAAATACGAAAACTGCCATTTTAAACCACTGCTTTCCCAGTTCCCTGATCATTTCTGTCTCACTGGGCTGCCGTGCTCTGTGTCAAGTCATCAACTTCTCTGTTGCAACATCCAAACATCCCAGCCTCCCAGGATACCAAGACCCTTCCCAGTTCCTCAAGTTAAAATCCTAGTGGGTTTTGTTTGCTTGCTTTTTATCTTCCTTTCTTCTTCCCTATCTCTGGTCAGCCTTAAATCATAGGTTGTTGTCAGATTCTGTTCTTTCTCATCCTCACAACCGATTGCCATGCCCACTCTAAGCCCCCTCTCCACATGCCTAGCAGCCTATCAATTCAGTATTTACAGATGACATTCCATATGTATAGCCCTGTCCTCATGCCTCTGTTTGCACAAGGAGCAGAATAAGCTACAGTCCTGGACCACAGGCAGCTTGGTATTGGAACATAATGGGGCAAGGGGGTGTGTGGACACATGTATTTGAGTGTGTGTGTGTGTGTGTGTGCACGCGCATGAGTTGGGGAGCAGGAATTAGAGGAAGGGTGATAAACTTGTGGTAACAAAGTAAGTCTGGTAAAGTATGGAAGGCCTCTATGCTTTTGTAGATGTTGAGCAGCTTTGGAAGGCTTTTTAGCAGGAATGGCATGAAATATCTGAACTTTAAAAAAAATCATTATTCCCCTATTCTCCATTGTATATGCTATCCCTTGGTGCCTACTCCTCCCCAGTTTGGAGTATCCTAGCACCTCCTTTTTCAATAGTTTATTTTAAAATATGGGTTAAAATGCAAAACAAGAAAACCTATTCCATTCTTATCCCCCTAAGTTCACAGACCTTCAATACTCTTGCCTTCATTGTGATATCTTATTTTCCACTTCTGGTATCACTTAATTGCTCTTCTATCACAGGGGCATGAGCTGTCTCACATCCATCTACTTCATGAAGTCCAAAAGGTCAACGGTCTCCCCTCTCCAAACACACACAATTCAGTCTTTGATAAAACAAAGCCTCAATCAATGTTCATTGCTTGATATTTAAAATATAAACCCCTTACCCTATAAACCATATAAGCTGACATGGTCTCCTTCCATATTGATTCCTAATACCCAACAAGAGATTAAATTGCTGGGTCAGGACCTAATGACCATGGTGCATATTAATTGGTTTGATCTGAGATCTGAGATCAGACAGGCAGGGTACCACCATTCTATTAGTATATACTAAACAAGAAATAGAAACAAGGTAATATGGCCATATATTCTCTAAACCCTGCCCCCTTTTGGGAACCCCTAATCATTAAGCAACCATAGATATAAAATCAAGAGAGACCCTGGACGTATAGAAAATAAAAAGTACGGAAATAAAGTAAATTACAGGGTTTTAGAGTAGATTGGCACACAGACCACCTGCACTACTGGGTATCAGGAGGTTACCAGTGAAGGGATAATGAATGGCATTGTCTATCAATTATTGACTCAAGCTTCTGACAGGCCAAGCTTACCAGTCATAAAGTGTTTCTATGGGAACAAAGTCAGGGGAGAGGAGTCCAGAGAGCCAGCGAGTTCAGATTTCCATTACCTGGCCAAATCCTCCTCATCTTTCAAGTTGCACTTCTGGAGGCTCCTTTATTAGTTTTGATTTCATTGATTATCTCCCTTTATTCTGAACTCTTTTAGCACTCAGTTTAACACAACTACCTACTCTTTGTACACTGATGTCTGATGTTTTGTCTTCTCGACCATTTAAACTTTTATTTAAGACAAAATCTAGTAAGCGTTTATCTACTAAACAGTAGCACCAGAGCAACAATTTGCAATTAGGAAGATGAGAGGAACCCAGTGCTGCTCTCACAGACACTTTTCCATTAATGATGAGTGTATTGGCTGAATAACTAGTGGGCAAAGAGGTTTTTTGGCCAACTTGAGGTAAACAAAATTGGTAGTATTTTGAGGCAATCTAGCAAGTCCCTCTCTGTTGACCACATCTCATTATTCTTCCCCTCAGGGTTACTAGATTTAGTAAATAAGAACACAATACACCCAGTTAAATTGGAATTTCAGATACATAATTTTTTAGTATATGTTCCAAATATCACATTGCACATATTCTAAAAAAAAAAAAAAAGTATTTATCTTAAATTCAAATTCAACTCTACACATCCTGTATTTTATCTGTCAACCCTACCTCCACTTCTTAATGATCACAGTGTGGATATAAGGTGTCTCAAGGCCCAACCCTGTTGTCATAAAAGCTAGAAGTAATAGCTTTCATTTATTGAGGGCCTATGATGTGTCAATAACAGTATTAGGAAACTTGCATAAAATATTCATTTAACTCTTGTAGTAACCCTGTGAAATAGGTATAATTCTTTTCAGAGAAGACAGGTAACAAGTAAAATTCCTCTCCACCTCTACCCATAGATTAAGT